CCTTGATAGGTCCCTTAAAGCAAAGAGAGCTATTGAAAATGTTATGTTGCCATATATAGAACTGCAGAGGGAAATGAGAAGCAAGAAAGCACAGACCACCATCACCAACTTCTTCAGTCGCCGAGTGCCTGCCATCGCCGAACCTGCCGGCATTCTGCAACAGGAGGCAGAAGCTGCCGACACCTCACAACAACAAGACGTAGAAGCTGCCGGCACCTCACAACAACAAGACGCAGTACCTGCCCACACCCCTCAAGAAGATGCAGACCTTGACTAATCATACTCATCTGACTGGTCAGGCTTTTAATAAGCCTCAATCATCACACTTGTATATACTGTATTGTTTACTTTAAGGACCGATGTTCACTTCAATAAATGAAACCGTAAGTTTGCTAGTATTTTTGTCCACTTATTATATTATTATTTATACACTATTATTTAAGGTTATGTGTAAAGGAAACGCATTAATGCTTAAAGGTACATTTATTCAACATATGCTAATAATAGTTAGAAAAATTACGTAACCATCACGGTATCGACGGTTTCTTTATCGACGGCCGTTTACAGAACGTAACCCCCGTCGATAAAGAGGGAGTACTGTACTGTAATAATAATTATAATAATAATAACAATAATAATAATAACAATAACAATAATAATAAAAATAATTCATAGGTCTAGGTCGTGTTTCTCACTTTTGATCTTTTTTTCATTCTTGAATTTCTTTATTATTATTATTATTATTTTATTATTACAATATTATTGTTATTATTATTATTATTATTGTTATCATTCTTATTTTATTTTTGTGTATTTTTTATTAAAATTTTTATTTACTATGAATAATTATTATTATTACTGTATTATCATTATTATTATTATTATCATAATTATTATTACTATTACATTTTCACCCCCCCCAGGCCCCGATGTGGGTCAGTGACCTGTGCCCGAGTGGGCTAATACCAAAAAGAAAAAAAAAAAAAAAAAAAAAAATTCGGTTTTCAGAGCTTTTCGGTTTTCGGAATTTCGGATGAAGGGTTGTCAACCTGTAATAGGGTAAAATAATATTCAGTGAACTATAGATATATTTTTTCAAAATTGTGAGGCTTGAGTACAATTACTGAGAATTATGAAACTTCTCAAAACCTAAAAATCTTTCATATGACTCATGAATATGCCTGCCAAAGGCTTGGAGTTTAAGAGCTCATAGAAACCCAAACCCTCAATAGGTTGGGCTTAATCTGCAAATGAGCCTTCCACCCCTACTAATACTACCTTCACCCTTAAAAAGGCATTTACAAGAACCTGTACCTGCCTGAAGGCTAGTCACGATCAAAAGCAAAGCACTTGCTCAGACTTGCTTGTAAAACAAGTAGCCATGCATATTGACATTGTCTCAACATAATTTCATGGGCAGATCCAGGGAGGGGGGTCCTGGGGGTGCAGACCCCCCCACTTTTCTTCAGAAAATTCCAATACTTTTTCTTTAATGCAGTACAGTGATCCCTCGGTTAACTAGCGCCTCGGTTAACGAAATTTCGGTTAACGAATTCCTTACGAATTTTTCCCAACATGTTTTCACCTGCATTTGGCTGCCCACCAGCTGTAGTATTAGTCTGCCAATACAGTAGTCGGTTTTAGGGCTTAAATTCCTTACCATTTTAGTAAATATCAAGAAGGTTGTACTATTCAATAATTTTAAAAGTTTTATAATAAATTTTTTAGTCATTTTAACAATTATTGAACATAATTGAAGTACAGGAAACTAGTTTTTTGCGCACCAAACAGCCACTCAACACACCAAGCTTGGCGTCAGTTTGTTTACCAGTTCAGAGGAAGGAACATCTTGTTTGAGACTCTAAAATATAAATGCTTTTTTCTGTGTTTCCAGTCAAATTATTGGTCATTTTGAAATGTATTTTACATATTGATAATATATAGCACAGTGCAGTGTTGATTTAAAGAAAATAATCTTGAATTACACCAAGAGAACTAAAATTTTATGGGCGAAATGGCGGCATGAGGTGACTTCTCTTCCACCCCCACTACCTTCTCTTCTCCCTTCTCCTGCACCCCCATTCTAATTCCCATCATCATCATCAACCAGGAGCCTTCTACATGCACACCTCAAAGTAAGTGTACTTAACTGCATTTATTTTTAGTTTGTATGTAATTTTCGGTGAGCTGGAACCAATTACCCAAAAACCCATTGAATCAATGGTTTCGGTTAACAATTTTTTCTGTTAACGAGCAACCTTCTGGAACGAATTGTGCTCGTTAACTGAGGGACCACTGTACTATATTGTACTCAGGCATTTTTGTATAATAAAGAGTAATTACTATTGACCTCAGAATATTTCCTAATATCAAATACAGATGGCCTCAAAATGCTCATGATATTGGTTAGATTAAAAAAAAATCAGAAGGGGGGGGGAGCTTTCAGCATTCCTCCCTCCAGCTCGCTGTGCTCGCCATGTTCTCTCACCCACAACTTCTTGGACATCCCCCTTTTGATATTCCTGGATCTGCCCCTGAATTTTCTTGACTTCTGTCACTGAGAGTTTGTTAAGAGGTAGTGTAGTTTTATTTATGGTGTCTAATACTATCCATCTCTTTATATATGGACTGTCATTCCTTTGGGAGATTCAGTGAGTGTATGTGCCTTTTCCATAGATTGGAACTATTGGTATTGGTTTACCTGTCCTCTTCAAGTGTTACTATGCTTAGAATATGTCAAAGCTGAGGCAGGTTTAGTTTTTTCTCATTCTGTAATGCTTGGCCCATTAAGAGTCCTACTATTTCTATGAGTCAGAGGGCATTTTAAGTAATAGTCTCATGCCCTTGTCTTCAGTTTAACTAGCTGTATGTTTGGAATTTCTAAAAGTCACAAATTATTTAGGTAAAAGTTGTGGTTTGATTTATGTTCTGAACATGGAATTTTCAAGATTTTAGGATCAGTATCATCTTTTACCAATTATTATTTTCTCTGCTGTCAAGGCTCTGTGCCCCTCATTTCTTATGGCCTAAAGATCTTCTCACTGTTATTCCCTCTCTTGAAGACCTGGGCAAGACCAGGAAATTGCATAGTAGGCCTTTCTCTGTGTTTCCTTACTCTGACAATGTCTCACTTCAAAAAGCTGGTTTTCCGGCATCTTAGTGGTATAGATTAATATACCGGTAGTCTTTTTCTGTTCTATTTGTAATTTCTTTTTACAGTACAGTACTTGTATTTTTTAGCCCCCCCAAGCCTCGTGGGCTATTTCCTGTTAAAAAAATAAAATAAAATAAAATAAAAATGTAACAAGGACTATATCCCTTCTCCCATGGTAGTTTTCTTTATCAATTAAAAAGTGAGGGTTAATTTTAAAATCATGACCAGGTGATTCATCTTGGTAACTTTTCCTCTGATGTAATTTTTAAAGCAACAGATGAGGTGTTTCCTTCAGTAACCACTAGTTTACAGGCAAGTGGTTTTCTTATAAGTCAGTCATTAATTGATCTGAATTGAACTGGTTTTTCCTACCTTTGAATAAAGATAACTGCATATACAGTAGTACCCCGATTTACGCGGTCAATTGAACCCACAGGGTACCGCGGAAAAAATGAAAACCGCGTAAAGTGAACAACAGAACATATGGGATTAATTCCAATAGAGACTGGCCCGACCCCCAAACTCCACTTTTTCCGACACAATACCCATGTTGTAGTAAAAATAACATCTAAATTTTATGATGGTATGCTCACACAATTAATATTTAAGAGAAATACAGTCGCCAGGTTAATGTCCATTCAAATAATGGACTCAAATCGCCCCCCCTCCCTCTTCCCAGCTCACTAGCTCCTACCTCTCTGATTAATGTTTGGGTCAGGGAATATTTTGAATGTAAGCTTCATATATTTTGCACAAAAGATAAAATATTTGCTTTGTGTAAACCAAATTATTACTTTAGATCTAAAATTTGTATGTCTAATGCAAAATCCATGATGTTTATATTCAAAATGATCATCATATTGTAAGAATTCCAGCAATGTAAATTATATTCTGGCCGGGTAATTTGTATGAATTTTATGAGCTAAGACATATATCTTCAGTAAATAAACAAAGAAATATTCTTCAAGGACACTATCTGTCAATCAAAATACTCCTCCCTAGCTGGGTCGGTCCCTCCCTCCCTCCCTCCCTCCCTACCTACCAGAGAAGCGATTGGGAGAAAATAGTATATTTACATTTTTAGTAATAAATAATAACTCAGACTAAAGTTAGGATAATATAATTGACATTTCTGGATTCCTTGCAGGTCAGGGAATATTTTGAATGTAAACTTCATATATTCTGCACAAAGGATAAAATATTTGCTTTGTGTAAACCAAATTATTACATTAGATCTAAAATTTATATGTCTAATGCAAAATCCATGATGTTTATATTCAAAATGATCATCATATTGTAAGAATTCCAGCAATGTAAATTATATTCTGGCCGGGTAATTTGTATGAATTTTATGAGCTAAATAAAAAAAAAAAATATACTTCACTGTGTATATGAGTAGATGCACTGCGGAAAGTGAAAGTCCTGGCAAGGCACCGCGTAAATGAGAAATCGTGGAAAGTGAAACCGTGTAAAGCTGTAAAGCGTGCAAAGCGTAAAGCGGGGTAATACTGTACAAAGCTATCACAAGTCACTTTACTCTTTCTCTCAGTTAGAAAATGTTGTACAGGGTATTTTCCCTTTAGGGAGTAGTATCGCACTTAGGTATTTTATTCTGGTTAATGCCAGATGATTTTATTCAGCTGAGAGAAACCCTTACCACTTAATGGGTAAAAACTTATCTTGATTCACCCTTTAAAGAATAGTGTCACACTTAGATGTTTTATTCTGGCTAACTGCTGGCGATTTTTTTCAGCTGACAGAAACTCATACTACTCATTGGGTTAAATTTCAATCCAGTGCTTGATTGTCTTTTGTCTCATATATATTTTATATTTGGTTTTTGCAGACTCTTCACCGATATAATCTTGAATGGAAACATGGTGATATGGAGAGGACTTTCATGCATGTGTTTTCTCCAAAAGGTCCCCTACGGTTTACATTAACTGAACGTAAACGTAAACAGTAAGTAACAGTCTAGAGGTTTGATATACCTTGAAGATACAGAAGATATTACTTACATACCTGTAAGTTTATTACATCTATTCAAATATTTATAAATATGAAAGTAGTATTACATTGAATTACAAACTTTATACAGTATATATATATATATATATATATATATATATATATATATATATATATATATATATATATATATATATATATATATATATATATATATATATATATATATATATATATATATATATATATATATATATATATATATATATATATATATATATATATATATATATATATATATATATATATATATATATATATATATATATATACAGGGGGTAAATATATATACAGTATATATACAGTATACACACACACACTCCTCGACTTACGACCACCCGGACATACGACCGCCCCAGTCGTACCAAAAAATTTCCAAATTACATATTTTCGAGTCCCGACGTTAGTGATTGCGCTGTGTACTGACAAAATTTTCGTTTGTAATTCCCTTTAAAATGGCTGGCATGCTTAAAAATTAGAGTTTTGTGGTGCTGAGAAGAAAAAGAGACAACCATTTAAGATTTTCTATGTATTATCTTGGCATTTTCAACTTACGACCTGGATTTGGGTCCCTAACCCCGTCGTAAGTCGAGGAGTGGCTGTCGAGGGAGGGGACTAGCCGTGCCACATTTCCAGTTTGCTTTTATTTATTCATAATTATATTCTCATAAGATCAGCTTTGCATGGTCTAATTTCATTATTAATAATATAAAGCTTAACGAGAGCTAATAGGTGCAAAAGATGACACTTCACATGTGGCACGGATAGGACTGGCTGTTACCACATTTGCCAGTTTGTTTTATATATTCATTATTATATTCTAATATGATCTGCCTATTATGGTGTCTGTTTTATCATAAAGAATATAAAATGCATTATTTAATAATAAAACAAAATATGATATATAATTTTACTTCAAAATAAAACGACAAGCTGAATCAGAAGGGACTGTACTGTATATACGTAATCTCTTCTCTGACTCTGTCATCCCTCCCTCCATAAACAAGTGGGTGAGGGGTGGGACTGACCATGCCGTGTTTGCCAGTTTGTTTTTATTTATTCATTATTATATTCTCATGTGATAAGCTTCTTATGGTGTATGTTTTATGATTAATAATATAAATTATTAAATTTAGAAAACTTTTACACCTTTGTAATTTGTAACTTGACATCAAAATTAAATGACAAGCCAAGTCTGAAGGTGATCTCTGCCTCCAACCCCCATCATCTCCCAGAGCTTCCCTCACCTCCACTATTTGGTGAGTACAGTTTTGCAAAATGAACTTCCTAGCCTTTTCTAAAATATTTATTTAATAATGTAGTTGCAGTTATGTGATATTACTTGTCATTTTGGGAAGGTTAAGTTTGTTACCCAAAGTCATTCTAGAGTAAAAGTCTGGGGAGTCCAGTACTATATAGCGATTTTAACACATGTTAAATGGCATCTCTTGCACGTATTTCCGATGCTCTGACGTGTACCAGAATGATATACCCGCCTAAATGAGACCCCCACTGTATACGTTTTTGGATGATACAGGTTGTACCTCTCTAGTCCGGCAACCTCGGGACCTGACCGGTGCCCGACCATGGAAATTGCCGGACCATGGAAATTCACCCTTTTCCTGGATAGATAGTGACTTGTGCTTATGCCTGGAAGCACTAGCACCACCTTTTCTGCGTCATGGCCTCTTTGAAGACATATTGAAGGGTTAAATGTCGTATAGTAGCTTCTCAAATTTCGCGAGTTTTTAATTCTTAACGTATTTTATTGGAACACACAAAAAAATAAATAAATAAAAATTTTGACGGCGGAAACTTGAATTTCGACGGGTTTGAACGGCCCGCCAACGTGCAGACGACGTGCATAATCGTGTAAACAGCGTCATTTCTCTTATGTACAAAAGATTCATTATTGTTTATTACTGAATGTCTTTTTTATTGAATTAATGTTTATGTGTGCAAAATGAGCAATACAATTCATTAATAATACGTAGAATATTAAAACACACGAGGAAATGACATAGCATTGTTTTCGTTGATTACAAAACCAGTGACTGACTGGTTCTACATATAAAACTGAAGAAAATAAGACCTTGGTTGTAGCTGTAGTAAAATTAATATGGTTGTTTTAAGTAATGTTATTTAATGTTAATAAATGGAACAATAGAAGTAGCTAACGATAATGGTAAAGAAAAAAGAGAGATCGCGTATGTAAGTGCGCACACGTGAAAACATATCGTCATTACTTTACATAAGAATATGAAAGCAACACTTATTTACTGTTCATATATATTTTAATTAATGTTTCTGAATTTGTTTTTAATGAATTAATGTTTGTGTGTGCAAAAATAACAATAAAATTTATTAATAATACGTGGAATATTAGAGGAGACGAGACGGCTGCCGGCATTGTCTTTGTTAAAGCTTACAAAACCAGTGACTGATTGGTTCTACATATAAAACTGAAGAAAATAAGACCCTGATTGTAGCTGTAGTAAAATTAATGTAAAAAAATTAATATGGTTGTTTGAAGTACCTGTAATGTTATTTAATGTTAATAAATGGAACAATATAAGTCGCTAACCATTAATGGTAAAAAAAAAATTGAGACTGCGCATATGTAAGTGCGCACATGTGAAAACATATCGTCATTATTCTACATAAGAAAATGAAAGCAACACTTATCTACTGCTCATATATATTGAAGGGTTAAATTTTATACTCTGTATAGACAAGCAGAGAGAGAGAGAGAGAGAGAGCAGCCGAACTGCCGGATGTAAACAAACCTTAATTTCCCGCGGCTTTGTTGTTGTTTTTTTTTACGGGGATTAGCCCACCCGGGCATAGGTCACTGACCCACATTGGGGCCTGAGGGGCAAAAATTTAATACTCCTGTAATAATAATAATAATTCAGAAAGTAAAAAAAAAAAAAAAAAAGCTGCCTATCTACCTATTGGACAAACTAAAATCGTTCCGGACCACGGGAGTTTCCGGACCACAGAATGCCAGACTAGAGAGGTACAACCTGTACATACCTGTACATGAATATAGCTTATTTGATTTTTTTTTATGCAGTAAGTCCTCGCTTAACATCGGGGATATGTTCCTAAAAACGTGATGTTATGCGAAACAATGTTAAGCGGATCAATTTTCCACATAAGAAATAGATAAAATACAGGAGTTATGTTCCTGAGCCTCCCCTTTCCCCATGAAATACATGACATATACAGAAAATCATTGCCATTTCTATAGAAAATAGTGCATACATATACAACTACTAAGTTTGTATAGGTACTCACCGATGGGCGGAGGTGGTAGAGCGAGTGTTTGGTGGGTAGTGAAGTGGAGGAGGCAGATGGCGGGAGGGGAGGAGTATGGCGGGAGCGGAGGAGGAGGGTGGAAGCAGAGGAGGGCGGAAGCAGAGGAGGGCGGGAGAGGAGAAGGGTGGTGAGTCACTGAGACCCTGCACCGAGCTGAGAGAGCGTAGCGTGGCCAGACGAGAGAGGGTGATGTGCCATAAAAAGTAGTCTGTGACAATGGAAAACGACGTTGTACTGAGTTGTCGGGAAGTTAAAAAAATTTTTGGTATTTAAAGATTAGCGACGTAGTACCGAAACAACGTTAAGCGGGCCAACATTATACAAGGACTTACTTTACCTGTATTGAGGTATCTAGTATGCCGTACAAGGACCACTCCCTTCCCCAGTCCTAACCTCATCTCTAGCTGTTGCTGATATAGCGAGCAGGCATACCAACTTATCATGATGCACTGGGGATCAAATCAAAGCATTTCAACCAGCATTTCAAATTTTAGCGACAAAAAGTCTTATGATACTTTTTGGGGGAATGTACATTACAGTACCGTGTGGGTGATGGATAATCTTTGTATATTATTTAAGACTTTGAATGTATTTATTGTTATGTGAAAATCAGTATTTACAGTGCGCAAACATCTAAACCAGTTGCATGTTTGCGCAACACGATAGCACCGTAAGTATAGTTCTACAACAGCAAAATGCTACTATGTACCAGTGTGCTGTATCTTCATATACAAAGTCCATTGAATAAATCAGCTATTTGTTGAGGCATGTATTTTTATTGGTACACACCAAAAAGTACATACTGTACATTCATGTATAACTAGCAACGAAACCTCTTTATTATGAAGTTCGTTTTTCTCCTTTTTTTTTTGCTTAAAATTAAAAAGAAAAAATAATAAAAACAAAGATAACTATTGTACAGTACAATACAGTATAGTCTGCATTTTTGGGGTCAATTGAACCCGTGGAGGCCCGCGTAAAACGAGAAACGCGTAAATGAAATAACAGAACATATGGGATTAATTGAAATAGAGACTGGGCCAACCCCCAAACTCCACTTTTTCCGACGCAATACGTACGTTGTAGTAAAAATGACATCTTAATATTATGATGGTATGCACACACAATTAATAATTAAGAGAAATATCAATAATATTAGGTTTTTTAACACTTACGTTAGCAGAAAAGCTGGGTCGGCACACATGGATGGCGGCTGGTTCCGAGGCAGAGGGCAGATTAGTTGCCCTCCGGTGAATCACTTTCACTTTCACTACTCGCAGAGGTTTGTAGGGCCTCCCAAACAAACCCCTCAAAGTCCATATCCTCACTGTCAATATCACTTATCACTGACTTGGGCTGGCTGTGGTTGTGGTGGGTTGCGGGCGAGGAAGTCCTCAATACTACGTTGACGACTAGCATTGATGTTGTCGAGATAGATCTGGATATATGGCTCCATAACTTTTGTCAGATGGTTATTAGACATTTCATACCGATGCTTGTCTGGGTCGTTGTCAAGGATGAGCTTAATTTTCTTCCCCAACTCGATGATTTCCTTCACATTATCGTGGCTTGGTCCAGGTAATTCAATGTTTTTCTCTGGTGGTGGGGGTCCC